CTGAGTTGGTAACAAAATATATGATATATGAACCGTTTTCTTCGGTACCCGTTTTTAGTAAATATTTTATTTTTATTTCAAGTTTTATTCATTAAGGAAATTTTCAAATTTCCAAAAGTTGAAAGTAATGTCATTTGTATCAAGTGAGGTTCGATTTTAGATGGTTATATGTTTTGAACTTAACTTATAAGAGCATCCACATTCTTGGAACCTCCAAAAACCTTACTTTACTTATTTTTTTTAACACGTCATTACCACTTTAACAAAATAAGTATCTCGATAAAACTCAACAATAGAAGTTCTTATAAAAACCTCATTAAAAATAGATAAAATGCATTTTTTTTATATGGATTATCACATATATATATATATATATATAATATATATATTATATAAAATTAATTAATAAAATTCAAATATAACTTATTAGTTTCACTTTTATATATTATTTTTAATTTGTTAGTATCGAGGAGGAGAATTAAAAATTAAACAACATTTAAAGATATTATGGACTGTAGGAACAATTTGAAGAATTTATTGGCCTTTTTGACTCTCAAAGTTCTTTTTCCATTTTTCTGAAAGAGGGTTATGAGAATTTAATAAAAAATTAAAAAAAAGAAAAAACATTTTACAGTTATCAATTTATGATTTATAAATTAGTTTTAGTTTTTACATATAAAAATATTTAAAAATGATCTAAACATAATAATATAACGAGAAATTAAAAATCAATATAAACAAACTATAGAATTTGTATAAAAAATTTTAAGAAATAAAAAATTTCAAGAAATAAAAAAATAAAACAAAATTAATAAATATATTTTATAACAATTAAAAAAACTTATGTAATTTTTTTTACTTATATGTTTTATATACTTATTAAAACAAAATAAAATATTTAAGATACAATAAAAAATAATAATAAACAATAATCGAAAAGGAAGGTGGCCAGACAAGGACACATGTTTTTTCCAAGCATCTGCTTTTTTATTAGAACTTGGACAAGAACTCTGTTGGATAATAGAGATTCTTATAAAATCCTTGATAGAAACCTCAACAAAAATCTCTATTGTGGATGTTCTAAATTGAATAACTAACATCATGATAACTTGTGTAAATCAGTTTAAACAATATATAACATAATCACGGATTCTCTAAGAAAAACAGTAAAATTAAAACAGGTTTATACATTTAAATTTTATTGTGCATTCAATAACACATACAACAAGATTGTAATTTTTTTTTCTACTAGTATCAATCGTCTCAACAATGGTAAGACCCAAAACAAAATGTACAAATTGAAGAAACTCTTGCCCTCATAAATGATAAGTAATCCTCTCCACACCATACAAGTGTCCGTGATACAGTGCACCTACACGCCTTCATCGACGTTGTTTTTCTTGAAACTTTAAGTAAGAATAACAAAAATAAAAAAGGAAAGTGGGAAATCATATAAAATCTTATTTCGCAATCTAAAGAAAGCTTGCATTATGATAAGACAATAACCAATAAACTACAAAGATTTGTTATTTCTGCCTCCCATGCCATATGTATTAGCAACATTTGCAGGTTCCCCATTTATAGTATCCACAACAACCGAACCTGCAACTGCTTGAACCACTTCCTCCACCACCACCACGTCTGTTGCCACCATTGCCGCTGCCACCGTTCGTGCCACCACCACACCAAGGCATTTGAGACTGTTGAGCCCCATCACAATTTGTATCTACACATCTCAAATTCAAATTATTTTATCACTCTATTCGTCTCAAAAATAAGTATCTAAAGAGCTATAAGATGTATGAATAAATTTATAATTACTTTCTTTTTGTTAAGTGTAAAATTGTAAATTTAGTTAATTATAAAAAGTATCTTTTAATTAAAAAAATGTAACTTTTAATTAGAAATTGTAAAAGTACACATTTCTATAATTATGTATCTTTTTTCATTATAGACAATATTTTCAGACAAAAAAATTAACTTTTACCAACAGAATTAATTAACTAGAAGACCTGCAACTTATAGGTAAAACTTTTGTTACACTCAACACGTTAATCAACCATAATATGTGATTGTGGTATATAGACTAGGAAATATAATGTGTTTTGTTTAAGAATTTCAGCTGGTTAAATAATTAATTCTTTATGATTTATTTATTTTACTAATAAACATGCTCGTTTGAAAGAATATAATATTATTAATTTGCATTGAACACAATCAACAAAACAACATTTAACACCTTGGAAATGGTCACAAGTTCGAGTATTAGTGGCAATTGGAAAGTGTATGCCCCTTGTAAAATATCATAAATAAGAGAAATTCTAACATAAAACACTAAAAATAACAAGGGRAGGAGGTCAAATCAAACATCTTTATTAAAAGAGGTCTTATTTATGCAATTAACAAAACTATAATTAACCTAAGTGATACAAAAAATATCTAACATATGACTATTTATTTAATGTTAAACGTACTGAGAAAAACTAACCAAGTTGGCGGGCACGATTATGTGCACTTTGGGCATTAGCCAATGCTATGGTGTCGGGATATGAGCTAACGACCATGAAGATAATGAGAGCCAAGACAAGWCCTTCTTTTAAGATCGAGGCCATTTTTCAATGATCACGTGGATGAATGAATGACACTTTGTTATGGAGTTTCTATTTATAGCCTATAAACATCGATATTTATATAGTTGTTTAAAACTGACTATATTATTATAATGTTAACGGAAATAAGAAGGAAATGGGGGAGGAAAACAATGTGCGGGTGATTAGCACCCCAAGACACATAGTTTTCTAGCTTTTTCTGTTTTTAGTTTGTCTTCACTTGCAACTTGTTTGATCCTACGATATCGTCCACATCCCTTCCTTTTATGGTCATTGAAATGATAAAAACAATAACTTGTTTTATAAATTTTGAATAAAAAATAAATACAATAATTTGTATTTTAAAGTTCAGGACAAGATGATTTGGACTTATATAAGCAACTTGTGCAAATTCTATAAAGGCATAAATATATTAAATAATAATTAGAAGAGTACTCATGCAATGCAGTAAGATAAATCTCGATTTTAA